AATTTTTAGCAATTCTAGACCCCGTAGCGCAAAACAAAGACCACCGTTAGACTCCCCGTGACGAGCTGCATCGAATCAATACCCATTTAATGCAAAACTATCAACTTTAAAATTTGACCTTTTTTGGTCTGACCTTGACCTGACTTTGACCTAAACTTCACCAGAAAGTGACCTAAGCCGTACCTGATAGTCTTATAACCAACACCATTGAGTTGGAAATGAAAAATTGGCCATAAAACATGCATCACACAACCTTAGCCCGCGCCCTGGTGGGGTCTGTTTATAACGCGACCTGGTGGGGGGGGGGCTATTTTTTGCCCCCCCTCGTATCTCCGAAACTACTGGACGGATCCGCAAAATTCAAACGGCGTTCGAAAGGCCTGTCAAATTTGTCGAAGGAAACCAAATTTCATTGACCTCGGGGTCACCGATGACGTCACAGGTCAGGTCAAAGATGAAATGTTTCACCGTTCACGGGTCATCTAGGGAATGCGCTATAACACCGAAGAAAACGCATTTTATCGAGAATCAGCGATAGGGCGTCAGTTGCCTAGTACATATATTGCTATAAGAGGTCACTGACATTACCAGGTCAGGTCACAGGTCAGGTCACCAAGGGTCACAGGTCAGGTCACATGAGCCCAACATTACTAAGGTTGTGTGATACATGTTTTATGGCCAATTTTTCATTTCCAACTCAATGGTGTTGGTTATAAGACTATCAGGTACGGCTTAGGTCACTTTCTGGTGGAGGTCAGGTCAAGGTCAGGTCAAAAAAGGTCAAATTTCAAAGTTGATATTTTTGCATAAAATGGGTATTGATTCGATGCAGCTCGTCACGGGGAGTCTAATGGTGGTCTTTGTTTTGCGCTACGAGGTCTAGAATTGCAAAAAAATGAGTTTGAAAATTTGACGTCATCAATTTTGAACAGTTTTTTCGCTGTAACTTGGCCAAAAAAAGAGGTATCGATCTCAAATTTGGTATGTAGATAGAAGGCGGTAAGGACTATCACATATAGGGTAGACCGGGGCAAGTCGCCCCGCCGAGGTAAAACGCCTCACCGATGTTTCTCGGAACTGGCAGAGTTCTGGGGAAACATCCTCTCTTCTATAAAACGTGCTCTATATGATCATTATATGAGCAGACTGGAAAGAAATTGTGATGACTGTTTCGGGAGATATAGCCAAAAATGTGTTTTTTGAGTGATTTTTATGTTTTGTTGTCAGATTATGCATCATGGCGTTCTTTTATGGTCCACATCAGGTTAACGACTTTTATGTATTTTGAACAACTATTGTCTAACGCTTATCATGCCGGGTTGGTTCGTGTTAAATTATGTCTTGCTGGAGTGCAAGGCGTTGTTCTCTGACCGAACTACGTGATGGGGTAAAACGCCCCAGTAGGTCGCGGGGCAGAAAGCCCCATGGGGCGTTTTACCTCGTGTGTTGTTCGGGCTACCCACTTTCTAATGTTCGGTAGCTGGCGAACAGTAAGTTTCTATGCCTTTATGTGTATTTTTCTCAGCAACTGGATGGCAAAGGAAGTATTTTGTAAACATTTGCATTGCAATAATGTATTATTTGGTCTTATTAGGCAGGTGAAAAACCTGTTCATACAATAGTGTCATAGCTGAACACCTGACAGGATGGAATGTGCTAACTTCAGTGCCGTGCCTCCAGAGGTCTAACGGACCTCTCACATAAGATTTAGCCAACTACCATGTTAAATCTTTAATCTAGAGTATGGGGCTACTTGCCCCAGACTGTGGGGCGTTTTGCCCTGGGGTTGGGGCAAAATGCCCCATTTGCAGTTGCTTCACAAATCACTTCCTAGCTTGGAGTCCGATCATAAGTGAATGAATTTGAGGGGTGCAATTTAAAGTAAAATGTCCAAAGAACGCATTGAGCACAAATTTGGCCTTCTAGGTGATGTGGGACAAAATTTATGTAGCAAAATAAATTATCTGGGGCGTCTTGCCCCAGGCTACCCTATTCCGGTTTTTTCGAAATTCAAAAAACTTTTTGGATTTTTTCGCTATTATAATCAAAAAATCTATTTTTTGATTTTTGGGGGTCAAAATCCAAAAATTTTAAAAATCCGAGATAGCAGTTTTGTAGCCCTGTCAATTCTACAGCTTTTATGTCTTTATCGTTTTTCTGTATTTGCAAAGCTATAGGCCTGACAGCTCTTCCCGCGAAACCCTTTTTTGGGTTGAAAACGGCAGAACATGACGTCACTCTGACGTCATTTCCGGCCAACCTATCATAGCCTTTGGAAAAATTTTTGGTCACAATGTGTAAAATTGATGTCCGGGAGGGTACTGAAAGTTTGGTGACGATCGGCGCAGCGGTTCTGGAGATATATCGAAAAGTCTGGAGGGGGGGCAAAAAATAGCCCCCCCCCCCACCAGGGCGCGGGTTAGTAAAGTTGGGCTCATGTGACCTGACCTGTGACCCTTGGTGACCTGACCTGTGACGTGACCTGGTATTGTCAGTGACCTCTAATAGCAACATATCTACTAGGCAACTGACGCCCTATCGCTGATTCTCGACAAAATGCGTTTTCCTCGGTGTTATAGCGCATTCCTTAGAAGACCCGTGAACGGTGAAACATTTCATCTTTGACCTGACCTGTGACGTCATCGGTGACCCCGAGGTCAATGAAATTTGGTTTCCTACGACAAATTTGACAGGCCTTTCGAACGCCGTTTGAATTTTGCGGATCCGTCCAGTAGTTTCGGAGATACGAGGGGGGGGCAAAAAATAGCCCCCCCCCCCCCCCCCCACCAGGTCGCGTTATAAACAGACCCCACCAGGGCGCGGGTTAAAGGGCCCCTGAACGCCTGACAGGCTTCTCTGAGCAACAAAAGGGCCCCAAGCGCTTAACCCTCGCCCGCACATGGGGGTGGTGGTTGCCACACACCCCCCCATGTGCATTCTAGGATGGGAAAATGGCATGTGCGGGCGAGGGTTAAAGGGCCTCTGTACGCTTGACGAGGGCCCTATGAGTTACAGAAAAGCCCTGAGTACACGAGAGGGCCCTCTAAAGTCATGAAGGGCTCCCTGATTCCTTGACGGGGCCCTCTAAGCTACATAAAGGCCCTCTGAATACACGACAGAACAGGCCTTAAAAGCGCCCTACCAATCTGTAGAGACCTGTAACAGCCGCCGGTTAAATTTTCCAACATTGGCCCTCTGTTGGCAATAGATTTTGACCATTGCTAGAACCCATTTAACGGTTCTAGAGGGCCATTGCGCGACTACGAAAAAGTCTTGAAAGCTCAGACTGGGCTCCTGACTGTGGGGTACCGTAAACCGGGGTGACTTTGTATCACTTTTGACCAGTTTGGTACAATATCTTGTATATCACTTCAGATTTCACTCTGGAAACTGTTTCATCATACCAATTGGACAATTCTCTATCTAACTGAGTACAATAAATGTCTGGAAATTTATCATAAATATTTTATTTTTTTACCAAAAAATTGATCATTCTCACCCAGACGTCGGGGTGACTATGATCACTACATTAAAATCACCTTATGTGTGCCATAGGAGCCCTCAGAAGGGGCTTGTGTGATAAAATTACATGTTTTGAATAAAATCAAAGGCTTTGCTTGACAAAAACTCACACATTTTACAGTAAAACTATGAATCATTGAGGTATTAAAATAAAGTTGCATGCTCTGGGTCTAAACTGACATTACAGAGCTATAAGCAGCAAAATTAGCTACTTTAACCTCTGACTTCAAGATTAAGTAACAGTCACAGATGTCCTAAGCCACAGGCTACCTGTTCTACATCACACTTTGTCTGCTGGTGGCTGTGGGACCACTTGCCACACTGTTCATGCCCCTCCCAGCTGATTGTCTTTTTCACTTCCCATTGACGCTCCAATTACCACTGAGATAGAGCAGCTCAATGCTCATCCTCCATCATCAGTATCTAAGCCTTTCCTTTCTCTTTCTTTATCTGGGTCTTTCTCATCTTTACCATTATTTTTGCTGGAGATGCTAGCGAATTTATACTTCATGCCAATGACAACAAAAAAACAAGCTGTGACATGAACATGATTATTCTAACTGGGACCCAAAGTGTCTGAAATAATGCTTCATTGCTTTATTTAACTATTGGCATAGAAAATACAGTTCACAGCAGCTAATTGCTCATTTGAGGCCCAAAATTGGTCTATGATCAAAGTCACCCCGGGTATCATTGTCACCCCGGTTTACGGTACTGGGTATATGCAGTACCTACCCCACAGTCAAATGACTCAGTCAAATGACTGTCAAATGACGCCCACCAGTCGCCCATGATGACCTATGCTTTCACCATTGTCATTTCAAAAAATGATAAAAAATGTCATTCCACACTTCCACAGACAATTTCCTTGTTCAACAGTCATATTACAGATAATTTTATTGAGATTTATTACCCACTTTAATTAGCATGACGTTTTTTGAGGTGTGATGCCAAAAGGAGTTTTAGTGGGGAACAACCGAAAAATTGCCTTTTGCTCCCAATAATGGGAATGCCTGTTCCAATATTTGGGAACTCTGTTCCCAAAACTGGGAACATTCCTATATTCGGGTAGTCATGACCAGTAACATCGCCGGACGCCGGTGAAAACAGGGCGCCGGAGGGCATATAAGTCACGTGACATTTGGAGCTTCTCCCCCTTTGTGGGCCTTCTATATGCTAAACATCACGTGTGAATTTCCCGAACCTTGATCAAATCGCCCCAGGCGCCCTGTTTTCACCGTCGTCCAACATGGCCTACTGATGTTACTGGTGAAAAATGCTACAATTGCAAGTTCATGGCAATTCTGTCATCATCATATCAATATCAATATGCTCAGAGGCCATAAAACCGCGAAGCAGATCATTATTATTAATCACATTAATAATCACATTACATGCCTCACCCCTTACATTCAGCAAGCACTAAACGCATTATTATTAACATTCAACAAGCTTAACCCAAATAAAAATAAACTCACATCGTCACACGTTATGCTCCAACTCGCGATATATGAACCAGCCACGAACGCACGAACCCCACGGAACTCTACCACGGTGTTACCACGAAGCACGAGGCAAGCACGAGACACGACGGACACGACTGCACCCTGCACCCAAGATTCTTACGCGATTGGAAATTCCGACCTAGACGAGCATCTGTGGTAGAAAGCCACCACTTAAGTAGGGGAAACTACTGCTGTCTTCTACCATTTGCACTGCATGTGCCGCTATAGCTGCGACATCTATGCGACACCGCGACATCTGTCTGCGCTGATTCTAGTTAGCGATTAGCTAGGGCACCAGGGTGGATCCGGACTTTCAGTTTGAGAGTGGGGGACTCATGGCCGGCCCGATCCCCGGCAGTCAAAGTTGCTGAGCGGGGGGGGGGGGAGGAAGGTCCAATGATGCCCCAAAAGACACGCCTATTGCCTATAGGTACCTATGTGGTAACCACGTGTGTCGCCGGCCGGCACGGGAGTTCCCGGCGCAGACCGATTCGCGCGCCGACTTGTGACGTCGCTACCCCGCCCCGGCGCTGGGGAGGCGGCCCAGGACGTGTCTGTTCGTGAACTTTGTCCCATCACGATGCGACCGCGTGTCTGCGGCCTGCGCTGCCGCAGTGCGTCGGCCAGTGACCAATCCGCGCTCCGATCGGCAGCCACGTGGTGTCCGAGTGCTTCTGCGCATGTCTGGACCCGGCCCGCTGCGTCGGGCCGCGCGCTACCCCGGGACTTCTGGCCGAGCTCTTGGCCCGAGCAGACGCGTCACGTCTGGCTCCGCGATTTGGCCCGTTCTGTCCGGGATTTATAACTTAGATTAGGCAGGGCATATTTGGCAAACTTGGATTTCATTCTCGTCTCTTCGTCGCTCCATTGTCTGATTCGCTGTTTTGGTTTTTGCCTTCGTTTTGGAACTTAAAATATAACAACCCGCTCTTAAATTAATTCTTTTACTTGGGGCCGTTTGGATCGAACTGATTGAATTTTTGGAACACGCACCAGGTTGATATTTTCCATTTCTGATTAACGTAAAATCCAGTCACTGATATGTGGTGAACTGCCAAACCTATCATTGAAGACAAGTGTGAAAACAGTTCTGATTCGAATTGGGAACCACGGTCCGTGACTACATGCAGCGGAACTCCGAATCGGGACACCCAAGTGTCGAGGAAAGCAGAGGCCACACTTTCCGCGGTGATCGAGACCAACGGCACGGCCTCGACCCAACGCGTGGCGCGATCGATGCATGTCAACAAATAACGAAATGGCGCGGTGAAGGGGTGCCCGTGGGGTACTGACGGGGGCAGCGGCCCGACTATGTCTATATGTACAGTTTCGAACCGCTGCGAGGGCACATCAAATCGACCGGGCGGAGAACGAGTGTGCCTGTGCACCTTGGCTTCCTGGCATGCTTCACACTCCTTCACCCATCGAGCAATGTCGCGGCGCATGTCACGCCAGAAATAGCGTGAGCTGATGAGGCGGGTGGTGCCTTTCCTACCCGGGTGTGACAGGCCGTGGAAACGATCAAACACGGCGCGCCTGCATGCCTCTGGTACGTACGGACGTGGATGTGGTCCAGAGTTTTCACACAGGACTGTGATGTCGCCAGACAGTGTTACTGGCTCCAATCGGGAGGTGTCCTGCGGCTTTGAGCGCGATTCTGAACCTGACTCGGCATGCTGGTGCTCTGAATCGGCACTGTCGGCGTCTCTCTCTTTTTCCTGTTTCTGAGCCGCCGCGATAAAATGGAGGTCACATGCATCGAGGGACACTGCATTTACCGGGCGACTGAGGCAGTCCGCCACCACGTTGTCACTGCCACGAATGTACGAGACCTCCGTGATGTATTCCGTGACGACACACCAGTGGCGCTGTTGGCGGTCAGACTTAGCTGTGTGCGGGCTGTGAAAAGCGCGCACGAGTGGCTTGTGGTCCGTTCGCAGGGTAACGTGGCGGCCTTCGATCATGTCACGAAAATGGAGTGTGGCCAGATAAGCCGCGAGTAGCTCTCTGTCATACGCGGCGTACTTCTGTTGGGCCTGACTGAGCTTCCGTGAGAAGAAGCCAATGGGAACGGGTACTCCGTCCACAATCTGATGGAGCGCGGCACCCACTGCGACTTGTGATGCGTCAGTAACGAGCTCGTACTGCTCGCAGTGTGGCACTGGGTGTGGCAGAGTGCAGGCGCCAGCCAGCGCTGCTTTACTGTCACTGAACGCCTGAGTCTGTTCCTCTGTCCACGTCAGTTCTTTGCTTTTTGGGTTGAGTCGAATCAGTTCGGTCAGGTGGAACGTGACATCGGCGAATCGCGGAATCATACGCCGGTAGAAGCCGATGAGTCCCAGATAGCGACGCAGTGACTCTGAGTCATGCGGTAGAGGGAGGTCCAGAATCTCCTTCACTCTGGCCTTGGGAGGTGTGACACCTGTGCTGGTGACGTCATGACCGAGGAAAATGAGTGACTTCTTCATGAACTCGCATTTCTCCAGTGAGATGCGAAGCTTGTGCTCAGCCAGCTTGCTGAACGCGAGGCGCAAATCTTTCTCATGCTGCTCCTGGTTCTCGGAAAATACCAGAATATCGTCGAGATAGACGAACACGCACGGCACGTCTCGGAAGATGCCGTCCATGACCCTCTGGAATGTGGCACCTGCGTTGCGAAGCCCCATTGGAATGAAGGCGTATTCGTACAAGCCGAAGGGCGTGGTGACGGCCGTCTTCTCTGAGTCAGCGGGGTTCATAGGCACCTGGTGATATGCACGGAGCAGATCGATTTTGCTGAACCACTGAGCGTTGTGGAGCTTGGTTGAGAGGCTCTGAATGTGCGGCAGTGGGTAGCGATCCGGTTTGGTTACGGCGTTGAGCGCGCGGTAATCACCGGTGACACGCCACTCACCAGGGGTACTCTTTGGAACCATGTGGATGGGTGAGGCCCATGGGGACCTAGACGGACGAATCACTCCTGTTTTGAGCAGCACATCGAGTGCTTGCTTTGCTGCGGTTAGTTTGTCGGGCGACAGCTTGCGTGGGCTGGCGAACGTGGGTGGAGCGCTGCCGGTGTCGATGAAGTGAGTGGTTTTGATTGGCGAGTCTGTGTAGTCCGGCTGGTTAGGGCTGAGAACAGCGGGGTGATCCTCTAGGATGGGCCGCACTGCCTCAGGCACCTGAGCGAGATCATTTATCACCAAATGAACAGACTCCCCGGTCGTCGGTACACCGGGAGCAGAGAGCAGAGTGGTGGAGTCGCGGAGAACTTGGGAACCACAATCGACAACCAACGAGCTGTGAGCGAGAAAATCGTTACCGAGTAGTGGCTCTGTCACTTCAGCCACTACAAATGTCCATGTGTAACTGCGTCTGAGTGTGGGGAGGACAATATCGAGAGTGGCCTCGCCATGCACGCGCAGTGGCTGCCCGCTGGCAGTCGTGATCGAAACAGCGGACGGGTGGATTATAGTTCCATTCACATAGGAGGGTGGAACCAGGGATACACCAGCGCCAGTATCCACGATGAATTTCAGGGGCTGATCATTCACCTTGGCTGTGACCCTAAGGAGCGGCAGGCCGAGGGCTGCGTTTACGGCCTGCTCCTCTCGTTTCCCGACTCTGAGGCTGCACGGGAGGGAGATGCAGCTCGTGAGGACGGCTGCATGGTCAGATCAGCAGCTTTGTCGGGCCAGTGACACCATGGCTTGCAAGTGCGTGCTCTGCTGCCGAAAAACAGGTGAGCACGGCATACTTTCGGCTTCTGGTCAGGATGGAACGGCGTGAGACCGAGAGACGCCCTTGAATCACGAGCATCACGAGCAGGGGAGTGTGTGGCGGCTCGGCTCTGCGGCTGAGTGGCCCTGTGGTACCTTGGGTGCTGCTGAGCCACAAGGAACGCCTGTGAGTCAGACTGTGGGTCCTGATCCTGACAGTGAACCATGTGAGCAGCTGAGTTTTGCACAAGAGGCATCAGTTCGTCCGCGAGTTTGCCCAACTGCGACAATGAGAGCTCGCGCTGAGAAGCCAGGGCCGTAGCAATGCCTGTGGGTAGCGACTGGATAAATTTGTGCCGAACGAGATCGTCTCCGACACCAACCTTGTCGGCCACCTCTCTGAGCTCGCTTAGAAAGAGTGAGGGTCGGCCCGTCAGACGCGTTTTGCTGATCAGTTTCTCAAACATCTCTGGCTTTGTCTTTTCGTACATGTCAGTGACGGCTGTCTGTAGCTCAGAGAAATTTTTGTTGCTCAAGACAGCACGCGGAATGTGCGAGATGGTTTCCGGAGGCAGGGCAGAGAGAACGTGGTAGAATTTGGTCTGCGAGTTGGTGATTTTGGCAATGTTAAATTGGGCGTCCATAATAGCAAACCAGCCGTCAACCGCGGTGTCCATAAAAACCGGTGGCTTGATCGACACATGATGGACCGGCTCAGCATGAGCGGGTTCCATCGTGCCCTCGTTCGTCATGATCGTTAAAGTATAGCCGGTGTTTGCAATGCACTGAACAATTAAAATTTAAAACACCGAGTGCAAAATCCAAAAGAGCCAATGGAACGCCGAAATAAAATCACCGAGAAGATAAATGCCTAACTAATCACACGGCGGAGAGATGGCACAGAAACCATCATGGAAAAGTGGCGCAGAAGCCACTGTGGAGCGACGGAATAGCAATCCATGTGGGGGAATAATATAATTGATTCGGGAATGAGCGGAGGCGACAACCCGGAAGTATGGAAAAATCGAACAAGAATCACGTCGGGGTCACCAATATGTGGTGCTGTGGGGCAGTTCACCACATATCAGTGACTGGATTTTACGTTAATCAGAAATGGAAAATATCAACCTGGTGCGTGTTCCAAAAATTCAATCAGTTCGATCCAAACGGCCCCAAGTAAAAGAATTAATTTAAGAGCGGGTTGTTATATTTTAAGTTCCAAAACGAAGGCAAAAACCAAAACAGCGAATCAGACAATGGAGCGACGAAGAGACGAGAATGAAATCCAAGTTTGCCAAATATGCCCTGCCTAATCTAAGTTATAAATCCCGGACAGAACGGGCCAAATCGCGGAGCCAGACGTGACGCGTCTGCTCGGGCCAAGAGCTCGGCCAGAAGTCCCGGGGTAGCGCGCGGCCCGACGCAGCGGGCCGGGTCCAGA